ATCCATCCATCCATCCATCGATGGATGGATGGATGGATGGATGGATGGATGGATGGATGCATACATGCATGCATGCATGCATGCATGCATGCATGCATACATACATACATACATACGATCGGGGTCCTGGAAGAGTTGGAGGTTTGCTACATTGTTTTGGCCCCACGTAGACAGAGCTCCGAGGTTTAGAGCTCAGGTTGTTCCCTCAACGGTTTCACTGGGATTACGAAGAAGAAATCTTAGAAGTTGGGGGCAGAGTGTCTGCTTCTTTTGTGCCAAAACCGGATAGACGACTCTTCCCTAAACCCCTAAAGCCCTAAATCCTAACCCCTAAACCCTAAGCCCTTGCTTGAAGGTGCGCTTGGAAACCACGGTCGGCGTCATTGATATCATCGTGCGCCCCGATTGGGTACCAGGCTCAGACACTTCAGAGCCTCTTGGAGGGTCCAGGCTGCATATATATATATATATATACAGAGAGAGAGAGAGAGGGAGAGAGAAAAGTATACATGTATGTATGTATGTATGTATGTATGTATGTATGTATGTATGTATAAATATATATATATATATATACTTATACTTTTGTTTACTCGATGGCCTTCCTTTTGTAGAGTGGAGCAGGCTTCTTGGCGATTCATGTCTTTTCGTGGTGTAAAACCACCCCTGTGTGCTAAAGAGCTACACCGTGACGAACAAAGGCTGGAACAGAAACGATGACGGCACTACCAACTCCAACAGCAGAAGGCTCGACCACACAGAAGTCTGAGATGCCTCGTGAGGAGCCGCCCATGGTTGTAGTACAGTAGCTCCTCCGCACGACGAAACTAAGCCTGTAAGCCGTAAACCATGAAGAACTGGGAACGTTTGGAGCTGTTCAGTACAAGACCTCAAACTTCAGCCTGCATCTACGATGATACACAAAGCGGGTGTCTCTACATCATACAAATCAGCAAAAAAAACTGTAGATGTATATATCTGCATTATGACTAAATAATCATACATATATTTCTATGTGTATGTATATATATATATATATCTACATATGTGCGTGTGTGTCTGTGAGTCTGATAACCTTCAAGCAAGTTGAGCAGTAGTGAATAGTAGTAGGTAGTCATATAGCCAGGGGCATTCAGAGACGATCCTCGGACAGCTTGAAGAGGGTGTGGGATGCGAAGAAAGCGCATGGTCTACAGTGCAACACCATCGATCGTGGAGCCGAGGCACCCTACGGGGCACGCCGGTTTCTGCAGCATCCTGGCTTGAAACTTTGGTATGACAGCATAACGCTGCGCGGGCTGAGCATGCCGGATAACATTCGGGTTTTTTTGCGATGTGTTGCTGCCAAGTCCGGGGATGATAAGGAAACATCTACAGACCCTAATTCATCCTAAACCCTGTAGGCCAGCAACAAATTGGCCAACATGATATTTTTGTGGCACCAGGAAGAGTCTTGGAATTGTTGGAGCAGCTTCCAGCGAGTCCATTCACCAAGTCCTGCCCACATTTTAACGAGGGTACGCCGGTCTGACAGATGAAGGTCTACGGTCCCCCCAGCTGCTCTCGTGGAAAGCGCATAAAGCGCGTTCTTGTATCTAGTAATTTCCATGGGCGGCCGTGTCTGGCCTTTAGCGTGTTCGTCTGCATTTTGTGTTGGTGTATGTTAGTACCTAAGCCCTGGGCCCTAAATCCTTAAACCGTGTGCCTGAGCCAAACCATGAGAGCTATTCCTGCAGAGGCTGGTGTATTGCCGCGAACTCGACGGCCTCGCCTTTTACAGGTCTGTGAAAGGCACCCTAGCTCAGATCGACAGTGTGTCACCACCGGGACCCTGAGCTCTAGCTCTTATCACAGTATCACAGGTAAAGACGATTGCGGTTGTGTGGGCCGGAGATTTCATAATGGAAAGCACGGGTCAGATGGTGCTTACTTGAAACCTTGCGGCTACTGGGGTCAATGCCTTGCAGGGTTACGCTTTCTCCTGCATCCGAGCCCCCCCGCCCACAGTAAACCCTAACCTTATGTTCATCTCTTGTGCTTACTCTAGCCAACGCGAACATCAAAAGACTAGGGAAAAGGAATTCCGAAAAGGGCAATAAGTATGGAATAATCAGGTTTCAAATTGAAAACAGAGACACACAAATGTTAAAAACATAGGCGGAAAATACGATACATGTAGGAAAACCTGGGATCGTGTGCAGGAACTATTTTGCTATTGTCTCACCTAGGAACACAACAGAAACTATACTTTTATGGCGGATGCCATTGCCGTTGCATGCCTGTGCTTCCGGCCATCTGGTGTCGATGGTAAGCAAGGTTCATGAAATGCCTTCTGGACGATCCTGCTGTTTCGGTTGATGCTGTCACAGTGTACCGTTGGAACGGTGTGCGTCTGAATATTCATTGTGTGTTATTTGTTGCTGTTGTGCTTCTTAGCTTGTCTCGCTCATGTGGTCACATGTTATGATACAAGCTTCTCTGCACCATGACCGCAACGTGAACTGCTGTTGCTGTATTTCAAAGCGACAACGACGACACGACGGCCACTGCTGCTCCGGTAAACACCAAACACCAAAACAAAATGAAGCCCTACAAAAATCCCCAAACCTTTCGCAGAGCCCTGTATGGAATCCTAGAGAAACACATGTGTAATCATGTGTATATATATACACACACATTCAGATTATATATATATATATACATATATATATATATACATATGTGTATATATATATATATGTATATACATATATGATATGTATACTCATGTATAAACCGGCACAACCCCCGCTCTTGTCCATCCCATAGCCGAGCCTTGGAGGCTGCCTGGCGCAGTTCGGGCTCCCCGCGCGAAGGCTCCCTTGGGGGTTCGTGGGACTTAGTAACTCCTGAAGAACCCAAAACCCACTTTTTTGTAGGTTCTTATTATAAACCTTAATATGGGATTTATAGGGACCCTCTCAAACAAGTAGGTTTTGGGTTCTTAAGGCTTGGGTGATAAGTACCCTAAATGGAGTTATAAGTAGTTATAAGTGTAGTTACGTTATTTGTAACAACTCTAAGCGACTTTTCGCAGCAACAGCAAAGTCGAAGGCCTGAGGCTTGGACGCAGGTCAGTCCTTCCTTGCTTGGAGTCTATACCTCCAGCTATTTTGGGGGTTCCTGACTATAATTGTAGAAAAACATACCACCAAAACAGGTTTTTTGAGGTGTTTTCGTTCAGGGCTTTCGTGGGTTTTATGGTTTGAACTCTCTTATGCCTGTGCGCCCTCAAAGCAGCAGGCTCTGGCCGCCTTTGCCCGACGACCCACCAACGGGCGTCCCCTTCCTTCTGGGCGCCGTGTGCTTTGCCCGGGACCCGGAAACTAGGGCTCTTCGTTGTTTATCGAAGCTCCAAGGTTTGCGTGGGGCCCTAGGGACAATGCGATACTGTTTAGGGTTTAGGGATTCTGCTTCTTTTAGTTTCCGGTGCTACTTCTTCTGACACTGTTTGGGTCTATTTGCCGTGCTACTCGTCCTGCTCCTGTTTCCAGGTGGGAGCACCCTATTACGTCTAAGGCTTTGCTGCTAAGGTTCAGGGCGTCCGGCGTCCGGGGTCTATGAACGCAGAAGGGTTGGCGGGTCAAAACATGTCCTGTCAATACAGAAGCCTGAATAGTGGGGTTCCAACCGGATTATCACATAAATATACATCAACATATATATATATATATATATATATGTATATATATATATATATGTGTGTGTGTATACATACGATTAGACTATACGGCCCCTATTTTAACATCCGAATTGATGGCAGCTTCGGAAACTGCCCGGTGTCGGGCTTGATCATGGTATCCCAAGCGTGCCCAAACCGACCGCAAAGGCTCTTGGGTTTTCCGGGTTAGGGTAGACCGGTAAACCCTTAGCCGCAGTTCCTAAGCCCTAATCTACTAAACCACAAGCCCTGAACCCTCAGTTCCTAAACCCTAAAGTACTAAGCCATGGGCCATAAGCCCTAAACCCTGAACCCTGATTGATGACTGCATTCACTTCCTCATGTGCCAGAACCCCCAGGCCAAGATCCACAAGCCCCGAAACACCAGAACCCTGAAATCTCAAAAAAGCCAAACCTTAAACCCAAACCGCATGACCAAAACATCGTTGTAAACCATACTCCCAAAAGAATCTGTTCATTTCAGACGCGCCACAAAAATGAGGCTGCAGCAGGCGAGAGCTCGCGGAAGTCGACGCCGCGAGCCTTTTTTTATGAAGCTTGCAGGGTTTAGGGCTTCAGGGCTTTACAGTAGGGGTTTTGGGGTTAAGGGTTGAGGGATTTGGGGTTTTAGTGTTTAGGGCTTGAAGATTTCGAGGATTTTGGAGTTTAGGGTAGGGCTCCGCGAAAAAGGGCCATGACACTTGGACCTTTGTGCGTATGGGGGCATTGTAGACAAGTTTAGCAACGGGCGGGGGGATGAATACAGGGGCTTAGTTCATTGCCAATGGTTTTTTGGGCTTCCTTAAGGTAACTATATAGTACTGTATCACATACCTCAAAGCCATATTTCAATTATTAAGGCCTCTATTTTCCTGAATTTCCTCTGTGTCACTTTATCGGGCTCTGCTTGTTGACTTAAGCAGGTGAGGGACGATGCTGTGCAGTTTAGTGTTTAGGGTCAGGCGTTGCGATTCCAGGCAGGAAGTTTCAAGCGTCTTGCAAAGCACGGCTCGAACAACTAACATCCGAGGCTTCTGCGGCTATGTTGAGCATGGAGTATGGATGCAGCCACCATTGTCGTCCCGAATGATTCGTGTGTGGCGACCTTCTGGGCAAGAGCTGGCCGCCTGTAGTGCGGAGGAGTTGAAGGATGCAGCGGCTTTGAAGGAGCATTTGTGCAAAGTGTGTGGTTTTCCAGTCTATCTGCAGCAGCTACTGCAAGATGGGAAGGTCTTGGGTGACGGCGCAGAAATAGATGCAACTATGGATTTGCAGTTGGTGCTGCTGACCATCCAAAAAATGTCAAGCAATGGACACACAATTTCACTCTTGGCTGAAGCAGATCTGGTAGATGCCGCTCGACGTCACTGTGACAAAATGGTCCGTTGCTTGCTAGCAGCTGGGGTTGAGAAAAATGTCCGTGACGTGGACGGCATGACAGCATTAATGATAGCATCTGTGGCTGGTTACTTGGACATTGCACGCTTGCTGCTGGAAGCTGGTGCTGAGAAAGAGTGCTCAGACGATTGCGGTTGGACAGCGCTGATGCTGGCATCTCACTATGGTCACGTGGAGATTGCACGTTTGCTTTTAGAGGCTGACGTTGATAAAGACCGCCAACCACATGTGGAGACGGCCCTCATGCTCGCATGCGAGAGTGGTCACTGGGAGGTTGCACGTTTGCTTTTGCAAGCTGGTGCTGATTCAAACTGCCGCGGACGTGTTGGAAAGACACCCCTCATGCTTGCATCTGAGAGTGGTCACTCAGAGGTTGCCGGTTTGCTGCTGAAAGCTGGATGTCGTACAGACTGCTGGGACATTGTCAACCGCCAGACAGCCCTCGCTCTTGCATCCGTTCGCGGTCACACGGATGTTGCACGTTTGCTGCTGGAAGCTGGTGCTGCGAAGGACAGCGCAGACGATGATAACAAGACGGCCCTAATGCTGGCATGTGAGAACGGTCACTTGGAGGTTGTACGATTGCTGCTGGAAGCTGGCGCCGCAAGAGATTGCAGAGAAGATGACGGCAAGACGGCTTTAATGCTCGCATCCGAAAGGGGCCACGTGGATGTTGCACATTTGCTGCTACACGCTGGTGCTCCAACAGACCGCTCAGACGATTTCGGCAGGATAGCCCTTATGCTTGCCCTCGAAAGTGGTCACTTGCAGGTTGCCGAGTTGCTGCTGGAAGCTGGCAGCCCAGCCCTAACGCTGACGTCTGACGGTGACCGCCAGGAGGTTGCACGTTTGCTGCTGGCAGTTAATGCTGATAAAGATTACTGTGGTCGTGTCGGAAGGACAGCCTTAATGCTGGCATGTGGGTATGGTCGCGTGGAGGTTGCACGTTTGCTGCTAGAAGCTGGAGCTGAAAAAGATGGTCAGGGACGTGGTGGCAAAACAGCCCTAATGCTGGCATCTGAATGGGGTCACTTTGAGGTTGTGCGCTTGCTGCTGGAAGATGGTGCTGAGAAAGAGTGCTCAGACGATTTCGGCTGGACAGCTCTGATGCTGGCATCTCACTATGGTCACTTGGAGGTTGCACGTTTGCTGCTACACGCTGGAGCTGCCACAGATTGCTCAGACGATTTTGGCTGGACAGCCCTTATGTTTGCCTGCGAAAGTGATCACTTGGAGATTGCACATTTGCTTGTGGAAGCTGGTGCTGACAAAGACTGCCGGGGACGTGTCGGTCAGAATACCCTGATGCTAGCATGCGTTAGTGGTCACGTGGAGGTTGCACGTTTGCTTTTGCAAGCTGGTGCTGATTCCAACTGCCGCGGATGTGTTGGAAAGACACCCCTCATGCTTGCATCTGAGAGTGGTCACTCAGAGGTTGCCGGCTTGCTGCTGGAAGCTGGTAGTCGTACAGACTGCTGGGACATTGTCAACCGCCAGACAGCCCTCGCTCTTGCATCCGTTCGCGGTCACACGGATGTTGCACGTTTGCTGCTGGAAGCTGGTGCTGCGAAGGACAGCGCAGACGATGATAACAAGACGGCCCTAATGCTGGCATGTGAGAACGGTCACTTGGAGGTTGTACGATTGCTGCTGGAAGCTGGCGCCGCAAGAGATTGCAGAGAAGATGACGGCAAGACGGCTTTAATGCTCGCATCCGAAAGGGGCCACGTGGATGTTGCACGTTTGCTGCTACACGCTGGTGCTCCAACAGACCGCTCAGACGATTTCGGCAGGACAGCCCTTATGCTTGCCCTCGAAAGTGGTCACTTGGAGGTGGCAGGTTTGCTGCAAGTAGTGGGAGCTGGCTTCTGAGTAACAAGCCAGACGCGTTCGCTGAAGGATGTGGTGCTGGCAAAGAGTGCTACCTGCAGCCCTAGACTCCATAAACAGATCATCGAAACCGCCTATGGGAAGTCCTTGAACCTCACAGTGGCATACCCATGTTCCTGAAATTCTCACTCAAATGAACCCTTAAAAAAATCCGAAGCCCATATTATTATCCTAGAATGCATTTTTGTTCAGAGAGTTGCTGCCTTCAAGATCCGGTCATGAGCGCTTCACTTGTTCGGCCCAGCCCCCGAAAGACCAAAGTTGTGCAGTTGGTGTTTTGGCCTTGGTGTTATAGGGGTTCAGGGTTTGGGAGATAGGATCTTCTCGTCTATACCTGTTGGCTCATACACCCAGCAAACTGCTGGTCGAAAACACTTAAACCCTGCCCCACTAAAGCCCTAAACCTTTACCAAACCCAATATCTCTAGCCCCGGCACCTCAGACCCTTTGCTGCTGCGTCCTCAAGAGCGTGGTGTAATATTTCGAGCCGTACTTTTACTGGAACTTCGAGGGTATATTAACCAGTCTCTTGTATGAGGATGTTTGCCCTGGGCCCCAACATCCCAGGCCTAGTGCATCGAATGCAACGGCCCTGAAGCTACATCCCTGGAACCCCCGTAGAAAATGAAATCCGGGGACAACCAATCAAAACCCCCTGCCCTATAAGGCTTCATGTACCCAAATCATATATACTTACTTTGGGGACTTTGGGGTCAAAGTATGTATATATATATATATACTGTTTGGGCACAAGGACCCTCAGGGCTGTTTACAGAGAAGCCATTCAGAACTCCTTCAAGGGTTTCGGCTTCTGTTGTTTGGATTCTTTGTAGGGTTTAGGGTTTACAGTAGGGTTCCCCGTGTTCTTTTCGGATCACACGAAGAAGGCTCTCGGCTCTCCCTTGGGGGACCTAAGATCCCCAAACTCCGGGACCGGGCTTAGGGTTTAGGGTTTAGGGTTTAGGGTTTCAGGGCAGAACTCCGAACCCTAAAACCCAGATACCTGGACCCTGAAACACGAAAACCCTAAGCCTCTAAGCCCCATGTAACCCTAAACCCCTAGACCCTAAACCCCTAAACCCTAAAACCCTAGACCCTAAACCCCTAAAGCCTAAAACCCTAAACCCTTCACCCCCAAACCCTTAAGCCCTCAACCCAAACGCCTTGCCGATCTGAGGCTCTTCATCTGTACTGGGGACATGTGGCGGCCCAAGCAGCTTTAAGTGCTCTTGTCTTTAGGGTTTGGGTTTAGGATTTAGGATTTAGGGTTTAGGGTTTAGGGCTTCGGGGGTTTGGAGTTTCAAGGGTTTACGACGTCGAAGGTTGCAGGATCTTTGTTCGGACCATGAGTACTATGTAACTGCATTCTTGTCTCGTGGCATGTACGTACTTCGTGCAAGATTGGGCGGTCCAGTGCATCCAACTTCAACACTTGGCATGCGTTGGAGTTTGTCGGTTGGTCAGACCTGGCATTGCATATCATCACGACTCTAAAGGGCTGCAAGCAGCTGGATCAGGTGTCTTTCTAGCAAAACATGTACAAGCCCCTGTATCTGATAGTTAAACGCAGCGCTGAACTCCCCAGGTCACACTGTTTCGGGCAAAGTGCCTGGGAGACGTGCGCGTCCTGGATCGGAAAGCGTCCGTGTCAGGTTTAGCAGGACCTCCGCATGCAGCTGGATGTGTTGCAGAGACCTCTCTGCATAGAGACATGTATCTGCAGACAGTAACCAATATCTTTATGTATATGTATATATGTGCATATATGATCACATATTTATGTTTGCATGAAAATAGGCATACATATCTATACATGTATATGTATATGCATACACACACACACACACCTTGCAAGACACATGTAAGCCGTTCAGGCCCATTGGTGCCGTGGCGGAAGCTTCCCTTGATGTGCCCATGCCTCAGAGCCTTCCCCATGCTCCCATTTCAGAACCACGAGCATGATTTCAGGCATGGAGCAGGCTAAGCATGTTACTTCGTAGCTGTAGCATGATTACTAGAAGATGACTAATAGATACAGGTTTTTAGTCGGTAGGCGACCAGATGTCAGAACTGAACTCGTAGTATCTTGTGCATCCGTAGCCAAGTGGCTCAGCTCTGAACCATACACGCCGAACCCAAACCCCTCAATGCTTATAGAATGGACAACATGTGGCTCGGCCAACATGGCGGTCCGGCGGCGAGATCCTAAAGCAAAGAGCCCACAGACGCAACCACCCACACAAACACACATACACACACACACACACGCACACGCACACGCACACGCACACGCACACGCACACGCACACGTACACGTACACGCACACGCACACGCACACATGCACACACGCACGCACACACACGCACACACACGCACACACACGCACACACACGCACACACACGCACACCCGCACACACGCACACACACGCACACACACGCACACACACGCACACACACGCACACACACGCACACACACGCACACACACGCACACACACCCACACACACACACACACACCCGCACACACCCGCACACA